CTCTCTCTCTCTCTCTCTCTCTCTCTCTCTCTCTCTCTCTACCTCTCTCTGTATGTACAGTTTCGCTTCCTATACGTGTCAATCGCCTCGCGGTACTGGTCAAGCTGACCTCCTGACGCACGGGCGCGTCCAGGATGTGTGACCGTTTCCTCTGCTGTCAGTAGAACGTGGTATCGGTGTGACAGATCGGGCGGTAACGGGTTAGGGAGTGCGTGGATGATGCATGTGCTGTGTACATGTGGCTCTGCCTGCAGCAGCCTGGAAACACTGCTTATACTATACGTAGATTATTATGATATATATGGTATCTATACGTGTATATGATATATATTATATATTATATGATATCTGTACATAGCTGATGATGTANCACACACACACACACACACACACACACACACACACACACACACACACACACACACACACACCCAAGCACGTGCGCACACACACGCTCAGACATGCACGGACACACACCCAACCACGTGCACACGCACACACGCACGCACACACACAGACACACACACGTGTAAACACATGCACACACGCACACACACACACGCACACAATCTTACGGGTGAACATTTCCACAATGCTCACCTTGGCTATTTTGCTTCAGGCTGGGTTCCCACCAGGGGTGATAAACATTGTTCCGGGCTACGGGCCGACAGCTGGCGCTGCCATCGCTGAACACATGGACGTCGACAAGGTTGCCTTCACGGGGTCAACAGAGGTCAGCTGTTTAATTTAATTAAAAATTTAAATTTAATTATTGTCAACAGAGGTATAACCCTTTCCCCTGTATATTCTTTCGCCAGCTTTTACATGGTTCCTAGTAAGTCTCACAGCATCGCACACTAGTAATAGTTGCTTCCACCTATACCATCAGTACTATGTTGTATAGGTAGACAAACCAGAGTCACAGTGATTCCATTAATGGTATACAACATATCAGCGTATTGTATACCGTCAATAGTACTAGCCTAGTAAGTGTCACTATGAGTACGTGTGATTATATCCATGGTTAACATTGTAAATAGGCCCGCCACCATTCCCTTATTTTTACCTTGTCATACGTGCTGTACATGGTGTATAGACCTCTCAGTCAATTTTGCTAATACAACTACTAGAAGTTACTTTATTATATGGGAGCCATACTTGTATTTCTGTACGGTTTTTAACATGACACATTTGGCTGTCACTATTTGTCAGGTGGGTCACCTAATCTCACTGGCTGCTGGACGATCTAACTTGAAACGAGTTACATTGGAGTTGGGTGGCAAGAGCCCCAATATTATCTTCGCAGACTCTGACTGTACGGGCTTTTATTGATATTTGTCGCCACGCGTTTATCAACAAGCACTCTCTTACTCGTTTGTTGCGTGCTTTGTCTACATGTAATTAGTCGGTGGCACTTACGTTGCAGCGTCTTTTCCCCGATTCATGTCTCGATCTGCTAAGTGTTGTTTGCATGAGAGCAGTAGCATGAAGATGTTGCAGTTTTGACAGTTGGTTACTGTGGTGTGAGACGATGGTCGATCCTAGATGATTAGCTCTTTGTTCGTTCGATGCCGCAGTGGACTATGCCGTGGAGCAAAGTCACTTTGCTCTCTTCTTCAACATGGGGCAGTGCTGCTGCGCTGGCGCACGCACGTT